GCTATAAATGTGCTTGTTTGTTTTACGTCAGCGATTGAGAAGATTAAACGAAATGTTAACATCTCGGGATATATGTCTTCTTTCGGTCTTGATACGATGGATAAAGGCGACCCCGTGTTTCAAATATCTCATGGACGTCCCTGGTGCAAGAGCGAACAAACTTGGTCGGTCCGGACGATGTTCAGTCTGGGAAGAACGCATTACAGGTAGCAAATAGAAAAAAATCACTTTTAACCAACAGTCTCAGACGACGGACAACCGGGGCCCAACGAACACGAACCTGATCGAATTTTTTCGGCTTGGGAGCAGGTGGAAGTGGGTGTTGTGGGACGACTTGAACTTCGTACAATTCATGTTCCGTGGCGGCTGGGAGATCGAAAGTGGCAGGTCGAGGAACGGCTCGTGGAGCGACCTTTTCAAACAATAATCGTTTTCCACCGTAATGCCAAACGCCAAAACTGTGCGTGAGAACAAAGTGGGCATCGTGTTTGATTTCAACGGGGTAGAAAAGAAGTGATTACTTAAGAAAGGAAGCCAAACCAGAAAAGAGTTGATCTACAACATAATCTTGACTTCACGGCCTATGAGAATACAATAAGTCTCCACTTGAGTGATACACTTTATTTGTGATGAACTTGCGTGTGATTGCCCACAACAAGATCCAAAACGCCGTTTTGGCCTTTTGCGGAGTCCTTTTTAGATTTTTTATTAGACTGACGGGGTAGCATCCATAGTCACGAGGACCTGTTGTTCACTCATGGAAACCGATGATCTAAGCGATGGGACTTGGAGTGCCAAACCACATTAAGACCCACTAGGTTAGGTGTGGTTTTGAACCGCACGATAGGAAAGCTGCCTAACACAAAGTTTGGTTAGTGGTGGTGAGGTTTGAACCTCGGATTACAAGGACCAAAACACGTCGGTGACAGCGAATTAGATCGCTTGACTACCCATCAAAACCGTGCAGTATTGTAGTATACCTGCCAGGGGTTGAAACGCTGACCCTCAAGATAGGAATCGATCGATTTGCATCAGCGAATGGGCTAAAGCAAAATGTAGTTTAAATAACCGATGCTGTAATGTGTTCAAAGTGTTGGTCGTCCACCAGGCAGCTCAGGGGTGAAATGTTCAGGTTTTAGTCTAGCAGATACACAAAAACTACACAGTGCTGATGCGTTACAACAGGAATGGAACAGTAGTTTAGCAGCGCCGTTTGACGGTCATCACATACCAATTCCCCACCGAAAAACCGTGAGCAGTGGTGAGTAAATGAGTCGTGCAATGAGCATTTGTTCATCGTTAACAATGCCATTTTCTCGTCAATTAAGAATTTCTTTTGCCGAGCGTGAACCGAAAACTGATGCACGAGAACGATCTTTCTGCTATGATTTTGTGATGTGCATCGTTTGGTAAGGCAGGTTGTGCTGAGCAGAAGTGCGGAAACGATCAGAGCAAAGTGAAACGAGGGTGTGAAAACCCTGGAATCAATAACAGGATTCGAAAACGGGCCCACTGATTTCTCTGAAACAGTTGGGGAGAAGAATGTGAGTGATGCGACAGGTAGATCGTAATTTAAGAGATCCTACGAAATGTGTTAACAATAAAAGGACATTTCTCCAAAACTAGTCGTCTTTTGGGCTGTGACTTGAACATCACACTCTGACATTTGATTCCAATATTCAAAACGGTTCTCTACTATTCCACGGAATGAGAGTTTGAGTTATACTGAAAAACTAACAACCATAGCATATCGGATTCAGATGGACATGGGAGATAGAAAGTTGAACGTACCCGTTATTGACTCGCAGTCTTGGAGTTGTGGTCGACAGGAGCAAATGTTCGCCATCGTTGAACCAAGATACAGCTGTCACATCGGATGTTTTGAATGTGGACAACTTCTCGTACTGCCTGAAGTTCCACACGCACATATCACCGGTCAGGCTGCCCAAACCGGCTAAGAGGAGCAGTGCAGACGAGAAACCAGAGTCGAACATGTTAAACAGTTAAGGCACAATGAGCAGGGGCGGGAAGAGACAGTTTGGACTAAGTGGATGAAAAAGTTGGAAGCAACTTATCTCAGTGAAAATCGTTCCAACATAGAAGGGATGACGAGAAGCTAAATGCATTCCACACGGCATCCAAATATTTATCGTCTTACGGTAGATTTCGACCAGGTTACCAGGTGAATTATCGATAAATTTAATCCTAGAATCACGTGATCACCTAAGCAAACTTTAAAATTTAAGTTATGAGGGGTAAATATTCGGGTCTTCAAACTCATTTCGAGGATTTGAAAGACAAATTCGAATCGCATTCAGGTCAAACTATTTTGGTGACCAGTATTGTTTTCAAACGTAGCATTACACACGGCCCCTTAATCCATTAAAGTGCACGTTGAATTGTATTTCGTTTCAGTCAACTGTGGATTTCGTAAGCATTCCTATCGACAACTTCCCGTGTTTGAAACAGAAATTTGAGAATAGGACATAAAAGGGGATGTCAACTATAAACCAACCAACTATATCTATTAGCACGAAATATCACGATGCAAAGGGCTCGTTTTCGATAGGCTTGCGTTGTTGATCAGTGGATTGGCCGACTAAAATCGTTGATGGCCCATGTGGAACCTTTCTCTTCATATACGTTTCATTTAACTACTTGCAGGCAGGAGGATCACACCAAACAGTTTAGGGGGACCGACTACAAATCGCGTCATGACTCACAATTAGCAAGGACGTGGTTCATCAGAACAGGTATCACGGGTACGGCTTAGGGTTATTTTCTTAACAGAGTAGACCTTCATCTGTATCCAATTCAGGTCTTTTATTGCTTAGCATTTTGTTGGATGAAAAGATAGATTCAACCAGTCCGTCTATACGACGCTGTATTGTTGAACTGGCGTTTTTTCATTCACCATTCTTCGGTTACCATCTTGATACAAAAAATCCTCCGTTAGTTCTGCCAACAATAAGTTCGGACCCGAATTTCGGTTCATCAAGGGTTTGAACTCTGACTGCGTTTGTATTACTACCGTGTCAACCAAGTTGCTTACACCAAGGCCAACTAGAATTATTAAATTCATGTGGTTCATATATCGTCTAACATAGTAATCAGTACGTCTTCTAAACCTCAAATAAATGGATGAGCTCAAATGAGAGCGAAAATCGAGTCAAGTGTTTCAATTAAGTTTCACTGCCTAGATGAATTTTGGGTTGTGCGCGACATACGATGTTCAACAGGAAACTTGATACACATTCCGCGCTACAATTACTACTCATAAGTAACTGTGAGTCAACGGGTGAATATTGACAAGTGACAGAACTACAATACAAAGAACAACACAACCAAGCATAACAGTGCTTGGATGAAAGAGGGAAACAGATGCCGGTGTAGTAAAACTATGATGCATGCGAAAAGGATATGGTTTCCTTGTGGATTAAAATACAATTGATTCCAGGATCCAGTTCCGAAATCGAATCGGACCTCGCAATCTGTCCCGTACACGGCCACCGAAGAAGGTATGACTATGTAAGGAGGGCAAGTGGCAAATAAACAAATAAACAGTGCAGCAAGAAACTAAAAGACAATCCTGATGTGTTTTACAATATCCAGAGCGCTAGGTAGCACCCAAAAATGCCAACTGATTAGGACACTTGTGTTTGGTAATCTGCGATTATCGTATTACTGTGTAACTAGCAACAAAGATATACTGATGCTTGGTCACTGAAAGCGGCTGACTGGTATCTTAGAACAATTTACCTACCTGTGTTCTTCTAATAGCTGTCCAAATGCGAATTGATATCCGAACCATGCGCTTCGTTTCAGTGAGTGTCAAAGATGGGACTTGGGGGCTTAATTGCATGAACTCACACAGGATAAAACAAGTAAGGTAGATGACCGATGGAATCACTAATAGTGGTTTACAACGACATCATTACACTGCATTCAATTTTTCAACAGCTTACTAACATTACATTTCTCACCTGTCTGGGTTCGGACGTGATGCCAAACAAATCCCTGCAAAACNTATTTACTACACAAAAACCGCTAAATGATCGGCACGTGGACAGAAAACCACCAGGTTGTCAAAGTCAATACAGGGACTCACGACTGGAACCTTAGGCTAGTCATAGCCTCAAAAGCAAGGCAGCGGCATGTGAAACCCCCATCTGGTTGCGAACCATTGTCCACTTCATCAATCCATACGCCCTTTGGATCGGAGTATACTTTATCACTAACGTACCGAAGCCAGCCAGCGTTCACTGCCACATCCCGGAAGGCGTAGTTGTAGTTCGTACATCTATTCGT